TTCTCCTATCCTCTTAAGAAAGCACTTCTCTTTCTTCTCTTCATTTACTGAACAATCACATTTTTTCTCATGACAGGTCCTTCATGACAGTCCCCTTTATGATACTTTGTAGAATCCAAACAAATGTGGAGAAAACCACACAGATTGCTTCAGGACAACCTCAGAATTTTACGACTTCATAAATACTAGTCCTTTCTCTGATGTCCGAGTATGAAGCTCACCTAACTTGAACTAGTTATGGGTGTGATCCTTACACTGGCTGAGTACCTCTACTCCCACAGAGCTCACACTTTCTGTGCATCCTCATCACTTCTCAAAGGTTAAAGACCAGGTGTCATGGTTTAACCTCAGGCAGCAACTAAGCCCCACGCAGCCGCTCACTCGCTCCCCCCACAGCAGGGTAGGGGAGAGAATTGGAAGAGGAAAAGTGGGAAAACTCATGGGTTGAGATAAAGACAGTTTAATAGGTAAAGCAAAAGCCACGCACGCAAGCAAAGCAAGATAAGGAATCTAGTCACCACTTCCCATCGCAGGCAGGTGTTCAGCCATCTCCAGGACAGCAGGGATCCATCATCAGTAACAGTTACTGGGAAGACAAATGCCATTACTCCGAATGCCCCCCCTTCCTCCTTCTTCCCCCAGCTTTATATGCTGAGCATGACATCATATAGTATGGGATATCCCTTTGGTCATTGGGGTCAGCTGTCCCGGCTGTGTCCCCTCCACCTCCTTGTGCACCCCCAGCTACTCGCGGGTGGGGTGGGGTGAGGAGCAGGAAAGCCCTTGGCTCTGTGCAAGCACTGCTCTGCAGGAGTGAAAACATCCCTCAGTTATCAGAACAAAAACATCCCTCTGTTATCAACCCTGTTTGTAGCACAAATCCAAAGCATAGCTCCGTACTAGCTACTAAGAAGAAAATTAACTCTATCCCAGTCAAAACCAGCACACCAGGTCAGGATAAAATCCCTCACATTAATTCCTTAACTAACCCCTCACATTCACTGTGTTTTCCCCCCACAAAACCATCTTTCTGCCCATTGACATGTACTAAATGTATTAAACAAACTACATGAAAATATCAGGATCCTGAAACAAGAACCCTTTGAGAAAAGAGATGCACATTTACAAAAGGATTTAAAATAAAAATTCTTTTCTCATGCACTGAGCAAAAGACGTAAAAACTAGACCAGGAGAATCCCACAGCCAGCAAGAACCCTGACAAGTTACTAAGCATTGCCATCCCAGTGGGAATGTACAGGCTCATCCCTGGATAACACAAAGCACTACTCAATAGTCTGACTTTGAGTGATGAAGATTCATACCTCAGACTTTTCTGCACAGAGACGTGCTGCATTAAATCCTGGGATGAAACATATTCCTCAAAATGAAAACAGGGAAAATTCCTGCTAAATGCCAAGTCTGAAGCAGCCATGATTCAAAGGGACAACGTGAGCAGAACAGGTGCCAAGGATGCCTGTTCTCTGGATTGATTTACAAACTAAGATTCTTCTAAACCATTAGACGTCCCCCCTGTCTCATGCGAGCAGACAGTGAGTCAAGTTCAATGTATGTCATCGCCATCTGGAAACTCTACAGGCAAAGATACCTTCTCTATTGAGCTTTTGAATAGAAATAGTTTTCATCCAGCTGAAATCTTTGTTCTGAAGCTGTACTATCCCTGCTCTCCTCCTTCATAAGTCAGGTTTATGCTTTTTTCACATGGTTTTGATATACTCGTAGAACTGGAGACCAAGGAAAAAACAGCCTAATGCCTCAAGGAAAGGACACCCAAGATAAGAACTCACACAAAGTATTATTCTCAACATCACCAGGTACTGTGTTCTGCATTGTTGCTCTTCTTAGCTACAACCTTTCATAAATGATATCAGATGGTGTTTGCCTTATCCAACAGCCTGTACCATTGTCCAAGACATGCATGCACATACCTAACATTAGTTTCTCTAGCTTACTAATAGAAGCAGAAGAAAATAACAATGGCAAATTTGGTACAGATTTATACTGATCTGTTTCCGCAGTCTACTTTCAAATTGTATTTATGCATTTTCATTTCTAATGTCTTTAAATATGAATATTACAGAATAATTATCTTGTTACTATTATGGACACAATCCAAAAACCTAGATAAAAGTATCTCACAATTTCAGTTCAGGTTATAAATTTTGTGGCTTGAGTCACAAGTGACTTAAGAATTTAACAAGCATGCCTAAGAAAACCTGACTGCAAATGAAGTTATCTTTATTTTATTTTATTTTCCCCATAAAGAGAAGGTTTAGCTCACAGAGATACAGAAAGCACAACGGCTTGTTTTGGGCTGCTGCCATTCAGTTTCATGCTGCATCCCCATCAAGAGTCATTAATCTTTTACCACCAGGAACACAATTAATCATGTTGGTTGGTTGGTTGGGGTGGGTTTTTTTTTTCCCAGAGGAAAAAGAAAAAATCATAGTAATTTTTATAGAAAACACTGCAAGGTACTCCATCAATAACAGTAATTTTTCTTCTTAATACACACTGCTAGATTTGCTCGCTCAAACCTGCTTGTCTTTACAGTATAGAAAAATGCAGTAATCTAAAATACATATAACCAATAGAAAAAACACATGAAGAAGCAGTCTGCTTAGTTGTACTGTATAAGGCAATAAATGTCCTTTTACTGATAGCTGGACCGTAAATCTTCAATGGATAGGGTTGAGAAAAAGGTGTTTGTGTTACTTCGGAGGTTATTTTTAGGTGGAAACATTTTTCTATCTAGCTCAGAATGCAAAATCTTTGCCTAAACTATGATGCAAGTTTTGATTCAAAACTTATTACAACCAAAAATCTTACCAACTTCGATGGCAGTTTTACTTGAATTAGTGCATGTTACTTGTGGACATAAAAAAAATAATCTATGAAAGTATGTGAATCAATGCCATCCCCTCACCTCCAGTTTCATTCACCTCCTAGGTCAGAAATGCCCACTGTCAGTTGTAGAAAAATCTCACTCACACTCTTTACGTCTGAGAACTGAGCTCAGCTCCCATTAAGGTCAACAAGAGTTCTGCCTGAATACAAATGATGATCCATCCACCTTCCACCCCTTCAAAATATGGCATTTGCCACATGGATTCATATACATCTTCATTGTTTTACTCAGATGTTTTATAACCTAGTAATTCTTTAAAATTAAATGTCACAAGCTTTTCTCTTTTTTCCTTGTTTTTAAGTGACACACAGGAGACAGCTATAGACTGCCCCGCTTTTTTTTTCTATTTTCTTCTTTTTTTTTTCTTTTTTAATCCATAAGGTAATTGGCTTTCTGGAGAACTAACAGAATTTTCCAAATTTAATTTTAAAAGATGCTCCATAATATCCATTATAGCAAACACTGTCCTGCAGATTCGATTAGGAGGCTCTCTGGACCTGCTTATTTCTGAATTGAAAGTGCAGTACAGCCTGGATAAATGAATTACCTGAGCAGCGGAACTTCTTGCTCTTGATCTGGCTGATTCGTTTGTTGGCAAGGCGACGCGGATTGCTGCATCGAGCGCCGCTGGTTTCTATCGGATTATCCTGCAGGTAATCAGCCAGCCACTTCAAATGGCAGTCGCACACAAATGGATTCTGAGCTAAATGTCTGCGAGAAGGATGGGATGTTTAATCAGAAGTGACCTGTGACACTGTACTCCATCACTGTTTTTCACAAACGCAAACCTGAAGAGTAGAGTAATTGAATAAGCTTCCAAAAACCCAGGCCTGGCAGAAAACACACAGAGCAGCACATGAATGGGAGAATTCTCTGAGCTATCACATTTCATAGCTCATTAAGACTGCTGCAAGTCCTTTCACAGAGGAAACAAAAATTAAGATAGCAAACCTGCTTTAAAGGACACAGACCTCCTGTCTACAAAGTCCAATGTTTTCTCCTGAGAGCTTGATATGCTGCCTTTTGAGAGAAATGCACCTTTTTAGATGCACCTGACCTGAAGATCATTTTGTATCCTGGTTTAAAATAAATTTTATTGGCAAGCTCAGTTTCTTAGGGATTAAAATGTGAATTAGTAAAGTGCCTTGGAACTGTGGGCAAAGCCAGACGTGATCGAGAGGTCTTTTCTCCAAAGTGAAACTGATATTTGCATATACTCATCATGCATAATAGTATTCCCTTCTATGTATTTTTTCCTGAACCAAAAATTTTTACTTTTGAGACTGAACTGTTTATGCAAGGTAGATTTTGACTCTATCATTCATCAAAATTTGTGCAGCATATTTCCCACAAATTGGAAATACATACTATAGCATTGATTTTAACTGGATATTTAGACTTTGTTAACAGAAATCCGCTGGAGTCTCTTAGAGAGAAACAGCATTTCTCTGCTGCTCTTATGATTCATTCTGTTTGATGAAGTTGAGCACTGTTATCAGGAAAGTTTGTCAGGTCTTTCTCAGAGCCTGATCCTGATCTCAGTTAAGTTAACTTGCACCACTCCCTCTAACTTCCAAGGGAGCAGGACACGACTCTTCAATAACTGCCAAGTCAGTTTAAAAAAGAGACAGATGTTTAAATTTGGTTTGGACCAAAGGTGTAAAGGTGTAAAGTTACAGCCTCACAAGAACTCTGTTCTGTTACTGTTAGTGTGTTTTTTCCACCTGTAGGAACTTCTTTTCTGTTTGCAGTTATATTTATGAACTGTCACTTCACAGAATAAGTATAAAATACAACAGGGCAAGCGCTGTTGAGGACTGGGAAGTGAAAGCATACATAGCAGAAAGTGCCTGAAAGATTACTGTTGTAGTAGAGCCCTTACTGGTGTGAAAGGTCCAAAGAACAAGCAAGCATATAGAGATAGGATATGGGACTGGTTTTGTAGCTCCAGAAAAAAGGCAGACAATGGCAATCACTTGGAGTACTAAAAATGGGAGAATGAATCAAAACGTTTCATGAAAAAGTGTCTCGGTGTGAAGCAAGAAGTCCGTTCTAAGTAACAGCCACCAGCAGTGCCAATGAAACCCTATGGAAACAAAGGAGAATTTTTTATACCTTAAGGGTGTCGCCTGTTTTTTTTAACTTGACAAATCTTATATACCTCTGTAAATGAACCTTCTCTGTTGCTCTTGTTTACATATATATCTATGTACATATATAGCATGTTGGAGCAGAAGAAAGCATGGTGAGGGGGGCAGGAGTGGGGCGGGTTGTACGTGATTATTCTAATGCCTTAATGTTTTGTAGCAACATATACTGGCCAGATATCTGTTGGAAATTAAGATTGTGCTTGTGGCTGCCTGAGGAGGTAGCAGGTACCCTGCTGCTAGAAATCATCTCTATTAGTTCATTTTTATGTGAATTAACACATTTATAAAACTAATTTGGCCAAAGCATTTCCAGTATTACAATATATATGTGTATACATACATTTCCAGTGCAACAGTTTGTGTTTGTATATACATCTATAATGTGCATATATATTCCAGTATGTGTATATGTATGCATACACATATATTTTTTAATACTGGAAATGCATATACTTACATACTGCATAAACACACAAAGCCTTATATCTATATATACACACACAAAAATATATATATATATATTAAAAAAACCACACTTAGACAATATTGGGTGAGTGGGTTCCTCCTTGTTCTTCATTTCTATCAGGCTGCCAACTCCAGCTCTGAAGGAGTACTATTTACCTTATTATCTTACTCTCACAGCTTTAGGATGAAACTTTCTATAAAATATCGAGCAATTTCTACACATTTGCTTCCAATTTTGCTTCTGATCCCTCTTCTCCTAAGGCCTCCAATTCAAAGACTCTCAGAAAACATTCAGTGGATTTTCTTAATGGATCAAATAATACAACATATCCCTTCCCTTAAGTAGAATGTCAGCTGAAATATGGTTTCAGAAGTCAGGAACTGTACAGCAGGACTCACACCCAGTAAGGAGAGATGCCAACTCCCAACTAGCACATTGAAAACTGTTAGGCAACGGTTTTAATAGAATCTGCTGTTCTTATATTGTACAGAGTCAAATTTGTGTAGTATCTTCCCAACAAACACTATGAATTAATTACTCTGGGAGCTTAACGCACTTATGACATTTACATCCCTATAGACAGGCTGTACCGATAGCTGGCCGTGATGAATTTATGCAATACTACTTTTATTTCTGTCAGAAAAGGAGGGGTTACTACCATGGGGTCTCTTCCAAATTGTCTTAATGTCAGATGTAAAGCCTGTGCAGACAGGTGACATCTTTGGGGAAAAAAGAGAGAGCTGTCATTTATGATGTGCCTGCATACTCACAGAGTCTGGATCGATCGGAGAGGTGCAAAGAGCCCCTTGCTGATAGTCTGCAGTTTGTTGTCATAAAGAGATAGCAGTTTGAGATTATGCAGACCTTGGAACGTGTTTACCCTCAGGCAGTTGATCTTATTGGCATTGAGAAGCCTGAAAACAGAGGAAAGGTTTATAATTCATTAATCTTGAAATAATCAAATAAAGATAGACTGAACTTTGGGGTTAAATCTAAAAAAATATTAACGCAGTCACCAAAGCCAACCCACATTTAAAGGTCTTCATTTGCCTGTTACATTAAAAAGGTGAAAAATTGCAGTCAACATTAGTACTCTCACAGTTGGGGAATATACAGACATATAACAGTGCTAGCTATCTTAAAATACTCAAAAGATATTGACAAGGCTGAGAAAAACAGCATATTGCAAACAGACTCCGTTCTCTTGGCCACAAAATTCTTGCTACTCTGTCAATGAGTTTGAAGGGCTAAATATTGCAACAATGGGGCTCTCTGAGGCACCACACTAACACTAAATCAGAAGACAAATGTGTTTATAGGTAAACAGGAAAAGACATCCTCCATTCCTCAGCAAGCAAATATACCACCTTAAACAGACCTCTAAGAGCACAGGGAGCTTCCCTTTTCAACAAAGTGCACATACACCACTATAGACAACAGGACAAGGTACCAGGGAAGAAACGCATGCTGCTTAGCTGCACATGCTTTTCTTTTGCCCCAAAAAATAACTTCAGAAGGTGCTTCCACTGCATAGCACCCTGCCTTTGCATTGCTGAAACCTTTGGAACGTTGTACACTCGTTACAGCTCTCTGCTCCTACCGTCGTTTTGGCAGAGCCTCATTACAGCAGTAAATGGCTACAGTAATTGTGATATGTAAAAGAAGGACGCATGCTTGAGTAGAGCCCTTTTCTCAAGGGGAACAGGAATGCAGTGCTTTGGAATGAGAGGGCGTCAGAGCAGAACTCACCTTCCTAGCCAACAGAAAAGTCGATATCAATTTACATGAATTTTCTTCTTTATATGTCATGGAAGAAGAAGTTTGACATTAGATAAGAGAAAGTCTTATAGAAGGCAATGATGTATAAGTGAGGTTACATTTTTGCATGAACTAATAGCTAAAATAATTTGATGAAATCATAAGCAGCACTAGTATGACCCCTCTATAACCTGTATTTCTGTGACTGATAATTATGTGACACCTAATCCACACTCCTGTTGACTCCACCAGAAGTAACCAGTAATTTTCCTATTAGGCTACAGGAACAGTTCTTCCCATGCATTCAGTATCTGAGATTTTGCTCCAACAGCAAACATGAATGTCATCTCTTACTACTTGCTTCTTATAGGCATTCGTGTGTCCAAGTCAAAGCAATCTTCATTCTCTTTCGTTTCTTGTGCATTATGCATTTCTCTTTCAAGCTTGTATATTATCTTTTCCATAAAGAACAGGTTAACAAGTTATTAGAAGGCAGAATCAGCTACGGAGTTTTGAACAATATCCTAACACGCATTTAGGCATTACGAATCCTTTGGTTTCTACCCCTTGTCCTTGTGTGCTGGTCCCACATTGTTTTTAGGTAATGCACATTAGCTTAGATTGGTTGTTCCATGACAGAGACTTGGTATCTAAGTTATAGATGAAGAAAACTGAAAGCAGGTATGGAGTTCAATTTGTTTTGAAACATACTATTTTTTTTCTAATATTATAGCAATATTTTATGTTGCAAGTAACATAATATTTTACGTTGCAAGTACTTGTAACAAAGCACAAAGAAAAAATTAAAATAATCTCAGTGATAAGAGAATTTACAACTGAACTACAGTGCTATTTGTATACTCGTGGACAACCAGCATCTCTTTTTGTGATGCTTAAGTGGTGCACACATAGCAGAGCTGCGTTGTGCAGATGCTATTCACTCCTGTGCAAAGAGTGGGCTTGAAGTCTAACCATCATTGATCCCACTTAATAAACCCTCAGAGCAAAGCTGACCTAGAACTGCAGTGAATTCACAGGATTTGAATTAATTCTCTGATTAGTTTCAACAAAACACGAATAAACCCAATGCTGGAAATCAGAATTTACAATGTGTTAAGTTTTTCTGGCATGACTTTTCAATTACTAGATTCATAGTGATATAATCTGTGACATTCCTGGAAGAGCCAAATACCAAAAATGAGAGAAACTGATGCTATATACAGTCACAAATAGAGAGGCATACTCTCTCCTTTAAGCATCAGAGAAAGTCATTTGGAACAGGAAAGTGCTTGTGCAGACTGTTTAGAAGTGAGAATTCAGGTACTACACAGCCTTTTTGAGGTGACAACACCTATTCTGTGTATCATCTACACAAAATATGTGCAGTACCTAAATCTAAAGAGGACCAATAGTGTGCTCAAGAGTAACACAGATGTGGCCATACTCGGTGGATCATGAGTTAGATTAACGTCCTATTTCTAATAAGAATTGGGGCTGGGGGTGGGAAGTGAAAACCTGTGAGAAAGCAGAATAAATAATCCCTAAAAATTTTTTCCTCGTCCTTACTGTGAGCTAGAGGATGACTTTTGGCCGAAGCATTAAGGTTTATATTCCTTTTGAAACTCTTGGTTATTTTAAAATATCCCCTCTATGGCTATTCCCCTACATAAATTCCAATTCTTTGCTTAATCTTCAATGTCACAGCCCCCCTAATGTTATCTAATTATTATTTAGGTATACAGGGCTGGTCTCACATGGAGTTAAAAGTGGTTGTAAGAATTTTTTTTTTTTAAAACTAACACAAAGGCAGATGAGAAAAACGTATTCTAGGAAGCAGAAACACTGATCTTCCTTAAACACTGAACCATGCTGTAAAACATACTAAGGGTTCCTTTTCATTGAACTCACACCAAAAGAAGGGACAATATTAAAAGCTGAGTTTTATTTTAGCAAGAATTACATGGTTTTTATTTTGCACCAATTTATGGTGAAAGTAAATTCCACTAATTTTCCTATTTTGTTATCAGCTTGATCGGATGAGATTTACACACGGCCTCCAGATGTGGTGCAGCATTTAAAAGGGGGTTAAAAATTCAAGTAGAAATAAAACCGCCTGCTACCCAGAGGGATGATGGATTATTAACTCAAGTCTCCATTTTCATCCCTCTGGATATGTTAAAAATATGAAGAAATCTCTTGCAAGCCCAGGACCACCACAGAATACAGGAGAATGGTTAAAGACCTTGCGGTTCGCACGCTACTGAAAGCAATGAGCAGAGCAGTATTCCAATTCCATGAGCCCATTTCCTGAAAAAGTGAATTTGTCCACGCACATTGATATAATAACGTGTTTCAGCTAAGCCCTTTGAATGAATGTGTACTGAATTGGCACTGTAATTGTATCAGATGCTCATAAGCACCATCTGCATAATTAAGATGGTCCCATAATTGAATTATATGCCCAAGCACAGTTTCAAGTGATTAACATTTAAATAACATTTTGAACTCCAAGCCCAAAATGACTGAAAAAATTGTTTTTTAAGAGCAAATGGGGATGTTTATATGGCTTTTACCCTTAGCAATGTTTGCACTTTCAGCTCAGTGAAGTAACCAAACTATCAGCAAATAACTACATAACTCTGAGAATGAAACAGCAGTCTAGCAACCTTAACACATGCTGGAGACTGCAGGTTGATTTCTGTTGCTACAGGATGGACCAGAAAGCATCCTACATTAATGAGCCAAAATGAAAGTGTCAGGGAGAGTAGCTGCACAGAGCCACTGGAAAACTTCTCCTTCTTTTCCACTAGCTTTGTGTTTTGACAGCAACGACAACATGATGAGAAGGAAAATGTACGGCATCCCGTGAACTGGCTGGCACATCCCACATGCCAGACTCCACTGGGGAACATGAGAACTCACCAGAAAAAGGCAGATGAAATACATAGGAGACTTGTAAGGGAGAGGAGAACTGAAGTTCTTTGCACAGCTAACAGCAGAATACAAATTGAATACACATTACTCAGTCAAAGGCTAATAGTCAAAGGCTTCACCTACATTCAAAGGCACTATAGGGCAGCAAAGAAAGGACTCTTGGCAGAGAGAATTCTTTAGGATATACAATACCTGTTACAAAATGTCAAAACTTTCTGGCATTCTTTTTCAGCATTTTCTCTTGAAATGTATAGGGAATCAAGCATCATCTTTGACTGAACACAAGTTATCACAGGAGAACAGCTGTGATAGAACAGCTAGATAAAGTGCCAATACAGAAGTATCTAGCCAAGTACTCCATCATCCCAGCAGTCAATGGCAAGCAACGTCTAACGACAGAATTGTGTGTACCCCTGATTACTTACTGGCAAAATAATTACATTAGGTTCCAGGAATGTTTTAAAATGGCCCAAAGTGTAGGGGAGCAATCTGACTGCCTCTCACTGTGTCAAGATATTTAAACATCTATTAAAATTTACATTTTCTAATGTGATGACTGACCACTGAAGAGTCTGTCAATGCTTTAATTGATATCAATCAGTATGAAATCATCATCAAGCTTGCTTGAACCAGCTTCAAGTGTTTCTCCATGTTCAGGAAACTGGATGATGGGGATGAGAAATTCATTCAACGTAAATTAAAGCGGAAAAGTCACAAGCTAATAATGAGTCAAGAAGGAAGCACAGAGCACAGTCTGACAGTCCTGTTTTGGAGAGATTTTAAAGGCCTCCTTTCATTCCCAATCCAACAGACTGCAACTCCAGTTGAACACCATCCATAAAACAACCCTGTGGTACTCATGTTACTACCTGGAGAATTATAAGCACGTGTTGTCATAGCATCTGGACTTCTGTTATTCAAAATTCAATATTGTCCAACTTATGCCTGCAGATAAGGTCACAGCTGATTTTAGATAACCACATGATAACTCAGATGCACAGCAGAATAAACACATTTTCTCAACTTCCTGTGCTATCAGGGAGTTAGTTTCTTGTGTAATAATAGCTAGGAGAGTTTCTGTCACCTAAGTCCGGCTTGGAGCACTGGCGTCAGACGTGCTAATGAATTACACACTGATGTACAAACTAGTGGTTGGTTTTGGGAAGTTGGATGCAGATAGGTTACAGAAGTGACACAGAAAAGGCAGATGCTGTTGCAGTCT